TAGTTTTTTTTTTATCTACACGCCCATATATATATATATATATATATATACATATATATATATATATATATATATATATATATATATATATATTTTGGCCTATTTTTAGGCCCCGAAAAATTTCTCGGGGTTTCCTGCTCGGCCACAGGCGGTCACCCGTGCGGGCGGGATCCCGACCGCCTGCGGTAAAAAGGGCCGCGGTCACGACCGCGGATGATACATAGCCAGGCAGCGCTGCCCGCTCAGCCTCGTCCTCGACGTCGATCACGTCCTCGTCACCCCTCTCTTGTCCAGCTCCTCCCGCACCTCCCTCGTCCCTGCGCGGATCCATGGCAAGTGCCAAACCGTGAAGCTCCTCGAACCGAAGCATGCAGTCAAGGATCTTGCCCTCCAGCTTGTAGTCTGAGTTATAGTGTATGTCCACCAGTGCCACATCGGTCACAAACAGATACCCTTTCCCTTGCCTGAAATGTTGTGCCTCCACGTACTGGTTTCCCTGGAATTCATGGCCGCAAAATAGGCACTTCAACATGCGGTTCCCGTGGAACCTCTCCCCGAGACTCTCACCGATGCGGATGTACTTGTACACACAACATTTCCTCAGCGCCTTGCGATTTTTGTCTTCCCCGGCGTCCTCAAATGCCCGCACCTGCCCTCGCGGCATGTTGGTCGTGCGCTGTGACCCTTCTCAGCCTCCACAATCCTTGCCCTGGCCACCTTAAAGGGTCGTCGATGTGCCGAAAAAAAAAATCGGGCACCCTAGTTCGCCCAACCCCTTTCCCCCAACCCCCCTCACCCGCCGCTTCCCCCTCCCCCGAGGCGCACTGTCCCCGCCCCCCACTCCCAGCGGTCCCCCACTACCGCCACGACGGCCGCAATGACTGCCCGCCCCAAGCAGCGCCAGAACCGCAGCCCAAGCCCAACCGATTTCAATCAATATTTTTGAACGCGCTCTGTCGAGCGTATCGGTCCGGCACCGCACAGGGGCAGGGCGGAACCCTCCCGGCCGCGTCACGCAGGAGTTGGTTTTAAATCCTTCATCGCAATATATACAGAGCTTCCTTAAGCCGCTCCGGCCGAGTGCGCCAGCCATACCTCTCGCGAGCCCCTACGACAGGATAGGGCCTACGCGAGGCACGACTTACCTACACCTTACGGGAGCTGTCACCTCCCTTCGGTGGGCGTATCCCCGCCAAGCTACCAGTCCACAGTACGAAAGCTAATCAGCTGCAATCGCAGAGGTAGACCAGCCGAGGGCGTTTCTCGTTCGCTGTGGCATAGGGGGTACGCACGGTAATATGCCTCTATCGGACCCGCACGCGAACCGACATCATGGGGGGCTGAGGTCCCAAGCGCGGTTCGTCGTTGGTCGACTAAGACGCATCCCACACACCACGCGCACTCCACTTTACGAACACACATACCCACAAAACAACACATATACGAAACGACACAAAACAACAATGCGACAACGCTTCTAGCCCCTCGGTATCCAACCCATAACTTTCCAATGCGGAAATCGTATAGGCGTCGCGCGCGAGACTCAGTATAAAACCGCGCGGACGTAGGGCTATCACATATCGACTCGCAATGCAATTGTACGCAAGCAGTCGCAATGAAGGCGTACTATGTGGTACCCATACTTGCGCGGTCCCTGTTAATCGCGAGGGCCGCATTCGACACTCAAGTGTCGGCTGACACGCGCCTTGAGGGTTAATCTCTTGACGCTGGACAACCGCCAAGCGCAGTTGAAGACCACACTCCCTCTTCTGCACATTGTGCAGAGGGGTTGAGTAGAGAGCTTTAAGCTGTCGTGGCGGTAAAAAATCAAGGGGTTTGACTTTGACGGCGGCCACGGACTATAACGTCCAACTATAAAAACTCCAAAGAGCAAAAGATAAGGAATGGGCCGAAGATTCCCTGCCTAGTAAACAAAATCATAGCCCTGGGGTACCCTCCCTTTTTCGATCAGCGTCGGCAACCTATAACAATCTCAAACATTTGCTAATATGTGTCGGTCCCTTTGTAATCCCATAACTTTTTACACACCAGGGCGGTAACGTCGTGCGCGGGATTTTAATATAAAGTTGCGCAGCCGAGGGCCTACCTCATACCAACCCGCAATGCAGGCGTACGCATGCAGTCGCGACGATGGCGTACTTTGTAGTGCCCATAATCAAGCGGTCCCTCGTGGATCCGAGTACCGCTTATGACACTCGAGTGTCAGACTCGAAGTGTCGTGAGGGCCTAACCCTTCACGACATTGCACGGCTGAAGGAATAGCCGTCCGGCCGCCGCGGCTTCTCCGGCTCTTGGCCAGAGTGTCTTGGTAGGCAAATCAAATAGACTCTGCGCGAGGGAAAACCCCTTCCCTGCAGAGCCTAGGGCTTGGGATGTCCTGGACAAGGACCTTGAATCCCGGCGCAGGACCAAACGTCCGACTAAGAAAAATCATCAAAAAGCAAGAAACAAAAATAGAGGGAGAGGCTTCCCCTAGGGCCCCTTAGCCTCAGCTTCTGAGTAGGGCTTTAATATGGGGACTCTTCAACCCATGCAAACATTCATCCCAAGTATACCCATGTATACATGTATAAGGGTTAAGTATGTGACGATCACTTTTCATTGTCTCAATAGGGTCTCTCACAATAATACGTATATGTGTGATCGTAGGCAACCAAATCCAGAATCTGATTCACAGCACATACCTGTCATCACATCAACAAACCAAAGCAACAACCCACATACTATACGGAGTCAACCCCAACCACCTTCGACATTCAGACCCTTTGCTTTAGCCATGCAAGCCCCAAAACCTCTTGTCCAACCAACCTTGATTAAATACTCAGCACCTTTGTTAAATGGCCATTCGATAAAAGTCCGGGTGAAACTTTAATAAAACAACGAAATCACCAGGGCTAAAGCCTTTTAGGTTGAGTGTGGAGGAAGAGTTGAAATTGAGTCGTAGGCCGACGAATCGGGAACCTACCTGTTATCAGTGATAACAGAAAGTGATCCTCAAAAGGATCAAGCTGGATCTAGCCCTGAACTTGAATCAAATGATCAAAGAGGCCTGTAACACACGGCAGACCAATCCTCAAGCTAAGATCATAAGTGTATGGAGACTAGAACTCCATAATTCATTCTCACTCAAGTTCAAGCCTAACTCTAAGCCAGTGCCCAAAACAGAAGTAGACTAATGGTTGAACCTCTCTTATTCAGGGTGGATTGCCAGAATCGCCACTTGTCGAAATATAATCTTACTCCTCTAAACTAAGAAAATTTCGGCAGCGCTTCCCGTAGGAAAATTGTCTTTCCATAATTTATATAGATCTAAGTATGAAAAAATATAAATAATTTCTAACTCTGGAAACCCAAATTTTGTCTAACTCTCTGAATTAGTAGAAATTTGGGCAGCACCCCCTCTAGAAAAGGAGACTTTCCAAATTTATACTAAGTCAGATATACAGCGAAAAAATAATTTATAACTCCTGGAAAGTCAAAACTTGTCTAACTCCCTGATTTAGTAGAAATTTGGGCAGCACCCCTTCTAGAAAAGGAGACTTTCCAGATTTATACTAAGTCAGATATACAACAGAAAAATAATCTCTAACTCCTGGAAAGTAAAAACTTGTCTAACTTCCTGATTTAGTAAAAATTTGGGCAGCACTCCCTTTACAAAGGGAGACTTCCCTGATTTATACTAAGTCAGGTTTGAACTCACAAGACAAACTTGAGTTCAATTTAGATAAGATTTAACTAACTCCTCAGTTTTGCAGAAATTTCGGCAGCACTCCCTCTAGAAAAGTGTTTTCCCAACATTTATACAAAGCGAGGTCCAGAATTTGAGAATAACTTTGACTTATCAAAGTCCAATTTTGTCTAACTCTCTGAATTAGTAAAAATTTGGGCAGCACTCCGTCTAGAAAATGAGACTTTCCAGATTTATACTGAGTCAGATGTATGAAAAAGACAAGTTGAACTCTGACGAGTCAAAAATTGACTAACTTCTTGGATTTGTAGAAATTTCGGCAGCGCTTCCCGAAGGAAAAGTAGCTTGCCAAGATTTATACAAAGCCAAATATAAGAAAAAATCTCAGAAAATGCAGGAATTGATCTAAGTAAAAAAAAGTTATTACAGAAAATGCAGGAATTGACACTAACTCCTATGGCTCTAGTATGTGGCGAGCAACTAAAGCAACTACCTATAGAACTGAAATCCAGACAAACTAGTCACCCCATCCAGTCTCATGTAAACCAAACCACGAATGCAAGTATTCTCACCATCCCAAGTTCATTCCATATAAATAGTTCGTGAATCTTCAAGTTCTTAAATCCTTATACCCATCTTACATAAGACATAGAGTTGGACCATTCGCCATATAAACAATGCCCAGCTTGTCTTTATGATATACACGAACAGGTTGCACAACTACTCCTTTCTTCTTTTGGGCAGATGATTAGGCCATTCGCCATGGAAACAATGCATAGTCGCCCTGAGCTGTTTAATATCCAAAGTTTTAGTATTTCTCTGACTTTGTTAAAAAGAAAAGACAAATATGGGCAGGGGACTGAACCATTCACAATAGAAACAATGTTCAGCTTGCCCCAAACCATTTCCATTTATACTCTGTATTTTTCCTTCTCTCTTCTTAATGATATGGCTTAACGCTGGACCATTCACAGTAGAAATAATGCCCAGCTGCCAGTTCACATGCAAATATACATAAAATACTTTCCTTTATACTTAGTTTAAATTATGTGCGTGGTTTTCAGGCTAAATCATTCACCATGGAAACAATGCTTAGCCTTAGACAAAAAATCCTCCCTCAGAATAAACAAGAATTTAAACCCCTTCAATCAAACAAACCCTCAAAGTTAACTAAGGTAGTCAGGCCATTCACAGTAGAAACAATGCTTGGTTCCCCAGAAAACAATCAAATAAACACAGCGACCAGACCATTCACAGTAGAAACAATGCCTGGTCCCTAAAAAAACAGTCAAATAAACATAGCCTTGAGCCATTCACAATAGAAACAATGCTCAGGCTTTGGTTGACCCGGTCAAAACGCACGCAGTCTACCTTCCTCCCACCTTCCCCCAGTTCATCCTTAGTCTGCTTTCAATCAGAACAAAGCAGAAACTTAGGCTTCACTCTCACACATTCTTTTCAGTTAGTCTGATTGGTCCTCAAGAGAAAACAATAATCATAGGGACAACACATGCATACGACAATCATACTACAAGGATATAGGCAAACATGGGTAGTGGTAGGTTGTACAGATGGAGATGATGTACCTGATGATTCCCTGCCTCCAGAACCTCGCGTAGGTTCCGGCAGAGCTCCCGCAATCGGTGGGTGGACTCCCCACAGAGTCTTGATGCGGACCTACGGGTTGCAATCCCGCCTGCCGCCTTCCTCTCGTAGTCCGTAGACTAAACTTAGATTAAGAAGGGTAGAAGTAGGGGTTTCACACGCTCGAGATACAGGAAGGGTGCTCTCAGACTCGTGCGAGAGGGCCTTGATATCTGGATTCGCGTGAGGGCCCCGCAATGGCAGCCAATATAGCAGCCTGGTCAGATCCAAAGTCAGATCACTGAACACAATCCCCTTGACAACTCCTTGAAATTGCAGCAACAGCTTTCCCTTCGCAACCACTCCTCTAAGTTGTGACAGCAACCTCCCTTGCCGCCCGATCGCCCCCTTTTCATTATACTTTCATTCCTTGTGGGCCAGCCGGAGTCAACATGGCGCCAAACAGCCGCACTCAAAGCAGTGCAGCAAGCCGTAGTAGGCCTAGCAATCACTGCCGTAATACAGCAACCGAGACAAACTGCGGGGCTTACTGTGGGGGCTGGCAAGGAA